TATAAATAATGTCAAAAACAAAGCTCGTATGCGAAAGTTATGAATTTTTTTAAGAATGGTTATTTTACCTGCGTCATGCACCACGTGTTAGCACCAAGCGAAGCCTTAGTGCCTACGCAAGGTCACGACGTGAAGGTCAATGTCACGATGCGAAGCGCCCTTGGACAACCTATAAATAGAAGGCAAAAAGCACTCAATTCCTCATATCTTTCTAACCTATTCTTTATCAAGCACCCCAAACCCTATAAGCCTTTCCCTAGCACCTCCTAGGTGTTAGTAGCAAGTCCTGGAGTGCCAGAAGGCCCTGAGAAGAAGAGCTTTCAGCTCAGAAGTTCTGGCCGCGCATAGCCCAATTTCTCACTAAACCCCCTTGTAAGTGAGTTATGCTTACCATACTTTAAGTATAACTTATGTTTAAGTTCATTATGGTTATTATGAACTTGTAAACAATATTTATCAGTTATTCCAAGTCGTTATACTAATTGATCTACTTACGGGGATGATGTCTAGGCTGTGATTTAGTGAGGTGTTTAAAGTGGAATTTCAAATAGTATACTTTGTATACCAAATAAACCCTACCTCCAATATGATCCTACCTGGTTATTCATTACTTGATAGATCATAAAAGTAGACTTTGGGTTAATGATGGATCTAGACTAATAATTAGTCGCAATATATATTAGACTAAAACTTAGCGATAATAATGCTAGGTTACATCAAGGGAAAAGGCAGTTGGTAGAAGCGAATCATTGCCCAAATTTCAAGTCGTTACTCTAACAATTGAGTGCATAGTCCCTTTCATGAACATGATTTTAATACAAGTATTAATAAAAGTATTGAATATATGTTGAAAGTTTATATGTGAGTTATATGATTATTATATGGAAATATGTGTTATATGTATCTTTGATGATATATGCTATGCGCACCAGACATGGTTCTTAATGCGTTAAGATGTATTTACATGATAATAATAATAGAAGTATTATAAATGAGAAGATAAATGTACTTTAATACTTCATACTCTATATAAAATATTATACTAAATTAGGATAGTGTTGCCGAAACAGAGTTGATATTGAAAGTTGATTATAAGTATTGTAGGCTTGCCTAGTGATGAAATAAGACTTAAAAGAGATGTTTAGTTCAATTAAGTATGGATATTGGGTAGCATCATATTAAGGGTACATGTGTGATTGGAATAGAGAGTAAAAAATCTGTTCAAGGAGATTGATGATCGGTGGAGTATGTCCTACGTACAAAAGTACTTTCTAAGTACAAAGTCTTTTACAAAGCTCTGTATCTCAGGTGCTGCTTGTGTCAGGGTATTATTATGTTCTGGGGTACGAGTCTTATTCATACCAGGGTACTATAATGTGCCAAAAGTACTATCATGTACAAAGTCCTTTTTGACACTATTTTGTGTCGGGGTATGGGAGCGTACACGAGTAGTTTATTAGTATTTCCCTATACTTTTTCTTTTGATGATCTTTGTGTGTCAGCGTTTCCTTTCACAAAGTAATTGAGGGAGCTTCGTAGACTGCCTAATAAACTGTGTCAGTAATAGACCACTACTAGGTATATCTGATGTTGTATTTGTTGGAATAGTGTCTAAGGCTGCAACTATATTTGGAAAGTACTTGACCCGATTAAGCATGGTCCTTTTGGGTTGCCTTCACCATAGCAACTTTATAGGATGATTTACAATGAGAGTTGAAATATTATAAGGAATAATAATATTGTTATTTGATTAATATAAGTCATAAATTAATTAGAAATTAATTTGGTGACTTAAGGAGATTAATTAAATAGAAGGGTATAAACTGTCAAGTGTATGATAGTTATACTTTAGGCTATAATCCCTTATGGATAATGGGGTGGACGATTTTAGTGGCTTAGGATAGACCTAAAATCCATCCAAGGCTTATCATGAAAGGGATTAGGATTGCTTAGGGCTTAAGTTATCCAATTAGGGTTTAAAGGTGAAACCCTAGGAGCCTTACAAGTATAAATAGACCCTAGGGGTCATAGAAATCAGCACCTCTTGTCTCTAGAGAAACCCTGGCCGATTTCTAAGTCCCTCCCCACTCTCTCAAATCATCCTCTTGCTAGTTGGTGTTTGTAAGCCATTAGAGGAGTGACAATTGTGACTCTAAAGCTCCAAGGACAAGAAGATCAAACAAGTGATTCAAGGTAAACTTATAACTCTGATTTCTCAATGTTATTATGATAGAATAACCATTAGAAGTCTTGGATACAATGCATGTTTAATTAGAGAAACCTAGATCCAAGCATTAGGGTTTGTATGTGCACATAGGAATGTTCATATGGCCAAAACCCATCAGTGGTATCAGAGCAAGGTTGGTTTCTTAACTACGACTAAAGCATTGACGGCGCTGTCTAAAGCATTTCAAATGTTAGAAACAATCTCAAACATCCACGTGTTGATATATAGGCTCGAACGACGACTCTACCAAGCTGACGCGTACACCTACAAGCCTAAGGGACTTGTTAAAGTATCCCCGAGGGATAACGTCAAAAAAGGAGAAGAATAACTAATGCCAGACTTGGCCAGCTCAGAGCCCAATTAGATTTAGACCGAGGCCAAGGCCAGGCCTCCGCCAACGCAAAGATCACTGGCATGACGGTTAACATGCAGAACCGTGCCTTAACCTCTTTTCTAAGGAATAACACCCCAACACACGTGGGACTAATTAGAGTGTTCCACTTGCTCATCCGATGATAGCCACGGTTATCATAATATCCAAAGATTCCCCTCTACCCAATGGGGGGACGAGGCAAAAGACGTGACAGAGGATCCTCTAATGTGAATCCGCCACGTCGTACCTCACGAGGGAATGCTCAATAGAATCAGTTGAGAGGCATACACCTCTTTAACAAGTATAAAAGGATCCTTCTTCCTCATGGAGAAGTGGACAAACTCTTTTTCCTGTGATTTACCCTTACTTCTCTCATATCTCATTCTAACTTGATCGTCATATCTTCGTACTGGGAATTCCTCCCCGACATTGACTAACAATCATCTTTCTCTTTTGCACTGTGATATCAGGAAACGGAACATGCACAGAGCCTATCTGTAACCTCAACCAATCCATGTCTACCGCATCACAACACTTACCAATTAAAGCCGATCACCATTGAGGAGTTAGATGAAAGGAATATTAATTAAATCTTCATAAAGTGTCTAGATATATATAGGAAATTATGTATGTTGTTTAAACTTACAGAAGACATGAGACAATGAGAGTTATATAATAATTCTATTTAGAATTTGTAAAAGAGTAGAGAAATGAGATGAGAAATGCATAAGCCTTGAACAATTATGAGATGAGATGAGAAAACTTGAGATTCATATAAGAATACAAGTATGAGATTAGATAATATAAAAGTAGCGTAAGAGAATATAATGAGATATATGTGATACGAATATTTAACTTACACTAAATTAGTAGCATGATATTTCAAGAGATTTCGAGGACGAAATCTTTTGAAGGGGGGAAGTATTGTAACTTCTAGATTTTCGTGATTACCGTAATACCAAAAATCATACAAAAGTAATTACCGTAACACCAAAAATCATAGTTTAAACTTTAAAATTAGTCCAACTAGCAAATGCTATAATCTAATATTCCATTGGCCTATTCCCTAAATCTTTATCATCTAAATCTATAATATTTAAAGGTTGTGCAATCTCCACATAAACATAAAATGCTAATGTTGTTAGTATTTAGTAAAAAGTAATAATTGTATCAAAATAGAATAAAATTTGTAAAATTTGAACCCAAAACTATATCATCATCCTTCAAAACGTCGTCAACGTTGTCTATTATCGGATTTGTAGACGTTCTCACCCAATCTTGGATGCATAACAAAGCTTCATGTATCAACGTTGATAAGCTAGTTCGATACTCACTTATAACTCTACCACATGTGCTAAACGCGGACTGAAACGTCACACTTGAGATTTGTATTGCCAATATATCTAACGACAAAAGAATTAAATTGTAATGACATAAAATACATATTATTTATCTGTCAAAAATACATAAAATTTAGAATTATAGTCTAAATAAATAGTAGAAATATTTCAACTTTGTTATCACAACTTGGAATGCTTGTAATTCATTAAATATAACACCAAAAACGAAAAAATTATAGTCTAAAATCATGTACAAACTTTAAATTACACGATGAAGAAAACCATATGTTAGTCCGATTTAAACGAATGAGAAATGCATGTTTAAAGATTATCACAAAATACAAAAGTCAAAAAAATAGCTGAAAAGCTGAAATATTTCAACTTTGATATCCAACTTTGAAGGCTTGTAATTCATTGAATATAACATCAAAAACGATAAAGTTATAGTCTAAAATCATGTAAAAAATCTAAATTATATGTTGGAAAGAACCGCATGCTAATCCAACTTAAAGCCAATGAGATATGCATGTTTAAAGATTTTCATAGAATACAAAAATCAAAAAATAGCTGAAAAGTTAAAATATTTCAGGTTTGATATCCAAACTTTGCAAATTTGTAATTCATTGAATATAACACAAAAACGACAAAAATATATTCTAAAATCATGTACAAAATTTAAATTACATGTTGAAAAGGCATGCCAAATGGATAATTAGAAAAAGATTTGAATTTTTTTAATAATCAGGTCTAAAACCGGTTTTTACTCGTAATCGGTCGGACCGAACTGATAAAAGTTATTATAACAAAAAAGTTTCTAGACAAAATTTATAAATTGAATAAGTATTTATAAATATCTAAAAATTTAAGAAAAGAAAAGCTAGTTTGGTTTTCAAAAACTATCTAAAAATTTTACAAAAAATAAAACACGTCGACAGCAGGGTTCGAACCTGCGCGGGCGAAGCCCAATAGATTTCAAGTCTATCTCCTTAACCACTCGGACATATCGACTTCTTGTCATTATTAATATTTTTTACTTTTATTAATTAATTCTAAGAGAACGCCTTCTACTAATTTTCCAAACTCGGGCTCTCTTATGGGCAAACGAGAATCGAAACTCGAAAGGGAACGCCTTCTACTAATTGGTTCGATTATTGGTGTCGTCTGTAGTCTGTACGTTGAATCGTCAAGAAACTGCATTTTATGTAAACATTGTCTTCCATCCTCGAATCATTACGCTAATGGTGAGTTTTTATTTAATCTCTTTGATTTCCTTTTCTTCCGAGTGTCCTTCTTGATTTTAGGGTTTACCCTTGTTTATGCAATTTGAGAAGCGTTCCTCCAGCTCTAAGAACCCCGAACGGCTTTTTAAATCGAAGTTCAATTCTTTTTTCGATTACTGTAATAGTACGATCCGATTAAACACGTGACGATTAATAGTAAGATGGTGATTTTGCGACGCAGTGCAACTTGATGAACCCTAGATATCACATGAAACATCTCTATATAAAAGATCGGCTAAGTTCATATTCATCATAAATGGACTCTAAATTGAATCAATGACTGTATCTCAGGCCACCCCATTTATTGCTGGGCTTGCAGTAGCAGCTGCAGCCATGGCTGGTAAATATGGAATTCAAGCCTGGAATTCTTTCAAGACAAGACCACCAAGGCCAAGATCACGCCGATTCTATGAAGGTGGCTTCCAACCAACAATGACAAGACGAGAAGCAGCTCTAATTCTTGGTGTTAGGTAACCTAAATCCTCCTTCAAAATTAGCATTTAAAGAATAAATCTACTAACTTATAAGAATTCTCTACACATTCAAGACTATGAAAGTAAGATATGAAAAAAGGGTAGTTGAAAAATACCATCTAAAGAAAATTTACATGCTCATACAGATTATCTGAAGTAATCTTGTAAGATTAAGATATGATGACTAAAGCTGTTGAAGAAGAATGCATCAACTCCAAGATTGGAACTTGGAAGTAATAACAAATTTTGGTTTATTCCTTTAGTTTTGTTAATTATGGAAAGGTTATTTTAGACATTTGTCATGTCTGACAGAGAAGGCGCTGCAGCAGAGAAGGTGAGGGAAGCACATAGAAGGGTAATGGTTGCAAATCATCCTGATGCAGGAGGCAGCCATTACTTGGCTTCAAAAATCAATGAAGCCAAAGATGTAATGCTTGGAAAGACCAAAAACACTGGATCTGCATTCTGATGATTCTTGATCACAAGCAATAAACAAAAAAAAAAAAGAAAAAAAAAACTGTGTCAAGTGTTGTTGATTACAGAAATTCGTGTCAATTCTTGTTTTGTGATTTCTTTGGCTTGTGTTTGTTTGAATAATCAAGAAATAGAGTTGAACAATGGATATCTTTCCTAGTCTATTGATGCTAAACAGTGTCTAAAATAAGAGTTTGACTTTTATGGTCAAACAAGCTTTGTTTTTTAAAACAAGGCGGAAATTACGTTAAACTATGTAGATGAGGTATCTAAAGTTCATTATCTTAATGATTAAGAGAATATAAAGTTCATTAATTATTTAGAGGTCGCTCATTCAGAGTCTTTATCAAACACGTCGAGGAAGGATGGCTGATTTGTGAATGGTTTTATTAAACATCAACTAAAAGATTACATCAATAGTTTTTTTTATTATTATTATACATATCATATCGTGGATAGATGTTGCGTGAAATAATTGCTTTAAGTTTTTTATATAAAGCGTAAGCCATTTGATGAAATGTAATGATTGTGAAATAAACACCTTATTTTTTAAAAAAAGTTAGCATGTTTTAAAATTATATGATTTTTGTTAGTAAAACAGTGTAAGAGATTGTACGTATTTTAATACATTTTTAATGACTTTTGAGAAATTTAAACCGTATCATTTTAAGCTGAAGTTCAAATTTTACTTTTAGCTGTTAGAAGATATTAAATAACTTTTTACAGAATTCACACACCTGACAAAGTTGAGTAATTGGAAAATCAATGGAAGGGTACAATACGGTGAATTGGATAATTAAAATAAGTTATTAATTTTATAGTAGGAGCTGATCCGTGCATAACAATTTTTTTCCATACACAACAATTGGTGCTTTAAAATGTTGTATTGTACAACTATATAATGCATGAATTGTTGTGTATGACAAAAAACTGTTATATACGAATCACTTCTCTTTATAGTATCTTAAGAATATGAATCTGATCACGATAAGCTAAATTGATTATACTTTTGCTTACTCATAGATTGGACTTTGTTAGGGAAAAAGAAATTTGATATTTTTTACTTTGATTTTGTTTACTCCGATTTTATGTTGGAAAAAAGAGATTTTTTTGTGTAATCATTTATGAATTAGTAATAAAAATGAAGAATGAATGTCATATGTTCTTTTTTACGATAAAAGTTGATGGGTTATTTTTACTTTAATCGTCTATGAATAGTTAACTATAAGTTATGAATCATTAACGAATACTGAAGTGCTTAAGTTGTAGAACAAGAGTTGAACGAGAAGAAGCATAAATGAATAAGGAATAGTAAATTCAAAAAGAATTAGTGACCTTTGGTTTTTGGTAATTGTTTTTATTAATTGAAGAGTTACATTATGGTGTTTTGGTATCTAATTAACTTTGATATTTGTATGCAGTTTGCTATTCATAAATCAACGACAATATGAAGATGCAGTTAGTTGTGAGTAAGGAATGTGTTTACTTGTCAATGAGTAAGGAATTGAAAATGTATATTTTTTTAGGAATGTGTTTAAAGGTATACGTATGGTTTGATCATAAATAATTATTAGGATTTTTGATAGGTTTAGTAAATTAGTATAGTTGTATAAACATTGGTTATTTACAAATGAATATGGAATAGAAAGTGGTTAATGGTGTATGCATTGGTTAATGAAAAACGAATATGTATTACTTTTATTTGCTGTATGTAATGGTATATTCATGGGTTAATCTTAATGAATATATATATATATATATATATATATATATATATATATATATATATATATATATATATATATATATATGGGTAAAGTGAATATACCTAACAACCTTATATAAGCTTAGGTACCTAACCACATTATACTACATTGTTTTGCATTATATTTCCATTGCAATCATCTAAGGTTCTTAAACTTTAATCCTTAAGTTGATTGACTTCCAAGATTTTCATATATTCACCATTATATTCTTCCTACACCATTTGATTTGTAACGGTAGTATATAAAGCCCACCAGAGGGTCTCCGATAGAAAGACGTCATTTGAAAGAAGCTAATGGTGAAAGTCCAAAGATTTTGGAAGCAATCAAGTTATGAGGTTGAATTTTATTCACTTTGGGTGATTACAATGCAAATATGATACAAAATTATATAGTATGATGTGATTAGGTACCTAAGCTTATATAAGGTTGTTAGGTATATTCACTTTACCCTATATATATATATATATATATATATATATATATATATATATATATATATATATATATATATATATATATATATATGGTAAAATAAATATACCTAACAACCTTATATAAGCTTAGGTACCTAACCTCATCAAACTAGGTTATTTTGCATTAAATTTTTATTGCAAACATAAAAGGTTGTTAAACTTTATCCATAAACTTGATTTACTTCAAAAAAATTTGGAAATTCATTATTATATTTCTCCTACATCATTTCATTTGTAGTGGTAGGATATGAAGCCTATCAGGCGGTATTCGATACAAATACGTGATGTAAAAGAAAGATATTGGTGAAAGTCCAAAGATTTTGGAAGTAATAAAGTTATGAGGTTGAAGTTTAAGAACCTTAGGTAATTACAATGTAAATATGATACAAACCGATATGATATTATGGAGTTAGGTACCTAAGCTTATATAAGGTTGTTAGGTATATTCACTTTTTCCATATATATATATATAGGGTTAGGTTCATTTGAGACCACCTATATTTTGTGAGACCGTGAGAAGCATTTTTTAATTTTTTTAAATTTTTTTAAATTTTTTTTAGTTAATTCATGTTCCGAAAATAATATTTAAAAAAAGAATTTTTTGATTTTTCAATTTATTTTGCATTTTAAAATTATTTTTAGAATATGTACAGTGTAATATTCTATTTAGAATATTTCACGTATTTTAAAAAAAAAATAGAATTTTTTTTTTTATTTTTTTTAGTTAATTCAAGTTCCGAAAATAATATTTAAAAAAAGAATTTTTAGATTTTTCCATTTATTTTGCATTTTAAAATTATTTTTTAGAATATGTCAGTGTAATATTGTATTTAGAATATTTCACGTATTTTTCAAAAAAAAAACGGAATTTTTTTTATTTTTTTAATTTTTTTATATATTTTTTTAGTTAATTCAAGTTCCGAAAATAATATTTAAAAAAATAATTTTTGGATTTTTTCATTTATTTTGCATTTTAAAATTATTTTTAGATTTGGTCTCACGGTCTTATAAAATTAGAATGATCTCAAATGAACCTGAACCTATATATATATATATATATATATATATATATATATATATATATATATATATATATATATATATATATATATATATATATTCAACGTAAAATACGTGGCGAAGTGGAATCGGGGAAAGCATGTGATAGGCTGCCATGTGGGGAGGCATCTACGAACGTGTCCACATGCAACACTACACGTATTACTCTACATATTATTTTTTAATTTTTCATTTTATCAATTCTCAACTTGTTTTTGGCACATCAAAGTCGTGGGTTTTTTCCATCACAACTTAGTTTTGATCGTTTTAAATGAATGCTTCGATTTAATACATGATTTAACAAAATGATCTTATTATATCATTGAATACAGAATTGTTTTTTATTAATAATGAAAAAGTAAGGACCCACGGATCTTAATTATAAATTTACTAGGCGTAAGACATAATTTTTTTTAAAAGAAAAATAATATATTTTGTTAACCATTAAATGTTTAATAATTTACAAAACTACATTTGGAAAATATTAATTGTGAATGAACCAATTTTTATAAGGTTTCTACAAATTATCGTGAACTCAAGGATTAATCGAAAATTATGTTTTTCAATTAGGAAGACCAATTTGAATTTAAATTGAATTTAATACATTAATCGACAAATTACGTCAGAATTTATGAAAACATTTAAGTTTTTTTTTATTTTCTTTATTATATTTTTAGATTAGGTTTTTTTTATAATATATCAACAAATCTAAAAAAACTACAATTACCAAGTGGATTTAAATAAAATTGAAAAACTTAAAAAATATCATGTGACATATTGAATTAGATGAATGCATGTGGCGAAAAAACTTCTATTTATTAGGTAAGATAAATACGAGTTAGTTATGAACTAAATAGTTTTTTTAAATAAAACAGTAAGTTGGTATTTAAAATTACATCTTGAAAAAAAACAATGTGAGACTCTGAAATGCTCCAAAAATAGTATTTAGATATGTTTCTTTTGTTTTAAATTGTAATTAATTGATAATTAAAGTGTTAATGATCGAAAATTTTTTGTCTTTTAGATTTTTTTTAGACATGATGATAAAATTTGATATTTGTATATATTGTTAAATTAAAATTTAAAGTATGAACAAAGTTATGTTATTTTCCGTTAATAGTATATGCTAATAGAAAGGAAAAAAGAGATCGCATGTTGATTATATTAGTAATTTATATAATTTTTAAATAAGCAACTAAGCAGCTTTGCTACATATATTTTCATTATAGAGGTTAATTATTAATCTTAAATAGTTGAATAATAAGGATAATACTATTCACCACTTATAATCGCAATGCTTTAATAAATACGTTGGAAATTACAACCAAACAGCCTAAATTAAAGTACAACCAAACACCCTAAATTACACAACACAAGTGAAACAAGAAGTAGTCATGAATATTGAAGAGCGTGTTCTTATCCAGGTAGGATACACGTCATCATTATCCGCAGTCTTATCCTTGCAAAAAAATAAAAATAATAAATAAATAATAACTACAATAAATATTTATTTATTTATCCAATTTAAAACTGAATTTATTAAACAGGAAATACAATAATATATACTCAAAAAATTGGAAGCCTCTACTTCTTCTTCTACTTCTTCGTCTGGTTTTGTTCGCAATCTCACCACCACCATATCCCTCTTTCCATACGTATACATATCTCCAACCATCGGAGGAATACATATGCCCTAGATTTCTTCCAATCGTCCCTAATCTTGCAAGGTAAACTTTTCTCATCAAATTAACAAATATCCATTGCAGATTTCAATCAAGAAATGATGTGTACAGATACAGATTCCAACCTCACTGTACAGTAGGTGTTTCAAGAAATTTTAATTGTGTATATAAATAGAAATACCATCTACATAGCGATTCGGAGTGAAATGTTCAGTAGTTGCTCTTAATCTCATCGGATTATTACGGACAAGCACGATTTTACATTTGTTTTGTCCGTACTGTATTCGGTTCTTCAGTTCTTGGTATTTGATGAGTTGTTTGTTGTGATCGGTAAAATTAGGGTTTTTTGGGCGGTGACGAAATACTTTCTATCGAGTTTGTCGATCTTTATTGAAACTGGTATTTGGATTTCTGTGAGTGTGTTGAGATTGTGATTTTGGAAATTAAGTAGGGTTTTCTGGTAGGTATTTTCAGTGATGGTGAATGTGAATGGGAATGACCCCTTAGAGTCTTTTCTTAATTCGATCGAACTTGTGAAGAATGCTCTAGGTCCTCTTGAATCCAATTTCAGGAAAGCTGCAAAAGACTTTGAGCATCGATGGCCTGGTAGTAAGAATGAACATAAGACTGAACAAATTGCCATGGGAAAAGGGAGTAAAGTTCAATTGTTTGGTGTGAAGAAAAAGAATGATCAAGGCGTGGTTAGTGATGAAAGAAAAAAGGGGTTTTCAACTAAGGTCCCGTTTAAGGCATTCTTAGGGATCTTCACACATAATGATGAACATAAGGTCGATGTCTCCAAGAAAGAGTTAGATGTACAGGATTACAGTAAAGACGATGGAACTTGTATTAATTGCATGCAGTTTGCTGTGAGTTGGTCTGTACTAGTTAGCAGCTTTGTTCAGGCTGTTCCAGGCCCATTCAGAAATGGTAAAAAGAAGCTGCAGAAAAAGACTAATGGAAACAAGCTTTGTAAAGATGTACAAGTGAATGCCTACAAGTCAAACATTTCAAAAGGGGTATTCCAAGAAAACATTTCTGGTGATAGAAACCACACAGAATTGAAACATGAGCTGATATTCGTGCCATATGAGGAAACTTTAAAAGCCAAAGATGGAAACAATTTGTCACTCGACCATCTTCTCGGGTTTCTGTTTGATCAGCTTGCTCAAAATCTACACAAGTTTGAGTTAGGTGGTAGTCTTTTAGAATCTAAGAAAGCAGATTTCAGTGGGTTTTTGGGAAATTTAAAGTTTGCAAGAGTTGGAGGTGTTCCATCAGGTATCGTTGACATAACTTCTAACGAAAGTGATGATGTTGTTAACTCAAATGCTACAGAAGAGAATGTTACAAGTTTCCCACAAAAGATGGCTAATGGATTTGGCTTACTCAGTATCCCTTTATCAAATGTTGAGCGATTGAGGTCAACTTTGTCAACCGTGTCACTCACAGAGCTAATTGAGCTTGTACCTCAACTAGGCAAATCACCTAAAGATCACCCTGACAAAAAGAAACTTTTCTCAGTTCAAGATTTCTTCAGATACACAGAGGCAGAAGGAAGGAGATTCTTTGAAGAGTTGGATAGAGATGGTGATGGAGAAGTGACTTTAGAAGATCTTGAAGTTGCTATAAGAAAAAGAAAGCTTCCTAGGAGATACGCGCGTGACCTAATGCAACGTACTAGAAGACATTTATTTTCAAAATCTTTTGGTTGGAAACAGTTTTTGTCATTAATGGAACAAAAGGAACCAACAATCCTACGCGCTTACACATCTCTTTGTTTAAGCAAATCTGGAACACTTCAGAAAAGTGAAATCTTGGCTTCTTTAAAGAACGCCGGACTTCCTGCAAATGAAGATAATGCTGTTGCCATGATGCGGTTTCTCAAATCAGACACTGAAGAATCCATTTCTTATGCACATTTCAGAAACTTCATGCTTCTTCTCCCTTCTGATCAGCTTCAAGAAGATCCAAGGTCAGATTTATTATGCTTATAAAAACATAAACTTTACTTTTTTTTTACACATCATCCAACTTTTTTATTTTTTAACCCTAAATTTCAGGAACATATGGTTTCAAGCTGCTACTGTTGTAGCAGTGGCACCTCCTGTTGAAGTACACACCGGAAGTGTTCTAAAATCTGCATTGGCAGGTGGTCTTGCATGTGCATTGTCTACATCTGTAATGCACCCTATTGACACAATTAAGGTAAGTTTATATTTGAACTATATTTAAGTTTCGTGATTTGGGTTTTGAAAAAAAAATGATCTTTTATTGTTAGACTCGTGTCCAAGCATCAACTTTAAGCTTCCCAGAAATTATTGCTAAACTTCCTGAAGTTGGAGTTCGTGGGGTATACCGAGGATCAGTTCCTGCTATCATAGGACAATTTTCAAGGTTCATATTCTTTGTCACTGTTTTATTTTTTTTGTTAAGACAAGTCAAAAGTCATTTGATATTTTGATGATTAAATACTGTTATATTGTTGCAGCCATGGGTTACGAACAGGAATCTTCGAAGCGAGTAAGATCGTGTTAATAAATGTGGCCCCGACACTTCCAGACCTACAAGTAAATAAATCCAAAATTTCTTTTTCTAGAATTTATATTTCCTATTCGACAACATACAAATCATTCATTCGACCAATATATAATATATACACATGTGTTTCAGGTTCAATCTATAGCATCATTTTGTAGCACTGTTTTGGGGACAGCTGTACGCATTCCATGTGAGGTATTGAAGCAAAGGTTACAGGCTGGCATATTTGACAACGTTGGGGAGGCAATCATTTGCACATGGCGACAAGATGGTGTCAAAGGTTTCTTCCGTGGGACCGGTGCCACTCTTTGTCGGGAGGTCCCGTTTTATGTCGCAGGCATGGGCCTCTACGGCGAGTCCAAAAAGGTAACTTTTTCACATACACATATATATTATACATACGTAGTAATATATTTATATATGAATTTTTTTTTTGACAGGTGGTCCAGAAGATTTTGGGAAGAGAACTGGAGCCATGGGAGACGATTGCAGTTGGGGCTATATCAGGTGGTTTGGCGGCTGTGACAACGACGCCTTTTGATGTGATGAAAACTAGGATGATGACAGCGCCACAAGGGCGGCCCGTGTCCATGTCAATGGTGGCGTTGTCTATTCTCAGGCATGAGGGCCCACTTGGGTTGTTCAAAGGTGCTTTACCTAGGTTTTTCTGGATCGCTCCACTTGGTGCTATGAACTTTGCAGGGTATGAGCTTATGAAAAATGCTATTTCCAAAACTGAAGAACAGCAAGCAGTTGAGGAGGTTTCACAGAAATAGTATGTTTTTTTTTTTTTTTTTTTTTAAATTTGTAAACATGGCATGTGAACGCGTGCTATAAAGGAGGAAGTTTTGAATGTTTTTCCATGGCGACACATGCTCTACAAATTTTATCTGCCGACATGTCTCCGGATTATGTATGTGATTTAAGAAGCAATGACCATGGTTTTCATAGGATATTTGCATTTTGTACATGGTATCGTTTGGTTTTTTATATGAAAGATTGATTCGATGAGGGAGGCCAGGTTATCTTGATTAGTTGCTATCTTTTTCTTTATCCTATTGGCGTTTGCATATAAAAATTGTTGCTATGTTATGATTGTTTTGTAGGGTTAGACCCATGTAGTTGTTGTCGAATAAGCTTTTCTCAAAATATCACTATTGCTATCATTTAAGTGTAATTGGAATTTGGAAGATGTACTAGTTTTGAAGTCTTTTAAACTATGATCTTATTTATAAAAGTTTGGTGGTATGAGTTTCACACTTGTATAATGGGAGTTTGACCCAAAGCATAACAAATGCTGTGATCAAATGGGTCCAAGTTGTGGAGTCCTAATGGTGGGCTTGTTGACCAATCCGGAGCATAAATACATTTTTATAGTTTTTAGAATATTAATTAATAAATAAACAATCTTCTTACATTATAAATTATGTTAGTGCTTCATCCACTTTTGGACGACGAATGAGGAAAATGTTAGTTTATGATTTTGAGGAGTCGAAAGTCAAGTTCATATCAACTACCATGTCCTCTAACCACCTGATTAATCAGTTTTACCATATTTTGTGATTAGTAGTAGTAGTAGTCTCTTTTTAAATTAAAATTTATACAATAAATATATTGTTAGTAGAGACAATAATATGTATTGAATTGCTACTTAATTTTACGGCTGAATGTATATTAATAATTAAACTTTTAAAGCATCTTTTCGTTAAAACAAGCATAAATTGAAAATACTAATGCAACTTAGTTATGTTGTTTTTCTTTTATTTTCTTATTAAATGTTGACTAGTGCTATATAATTAATGACTAATCATTGGAAAAATGACATTTTTTATTTGGGCTAATAAGAAAAAGAGCACTATATTTTGCAATTTTCTATTTTAACCATCAAATTTTCACTTTTGTTAAAAAGTCATATTTCTTTTGTATAAAATTTCTATCATCACGACCATTATGGCGTTCAAATAACGGTCAAATACGAAATGTCGTTCCTTTTTTCTTTAAAAAAGATTCATATTTTTTAAAATTACATCATGACCGCTATTTTTTTTGTTTAGTTTTAGGATTTATTTTTGTCAAAAAAAAAGTTATTTGTATTATATAAACAGATATTTATATTTTATGTCATTGCCAAACCACAAAATTTGATATATTTTTGCTAAAAAATATCCGATTGAGGGTTACATAATTTAGTTTTAAGTGTATATTTTTTGTCTGCAGATCTGCATGACCACTTGTAGACCATACACAGACATGTCATTGTAGACTATTTGTTTTTGTTTTTGTTTTATTGTTTATTGTTTTTTTTTGAAGTGCTTAAACCTAAACACGAATGCACGAGGTCTTCTTGACAAAAACATGGACCAACGTTTTTTAAGGTCTTTACGACTAGGGTTGTAAACGACCAAAATAAACACGGACAAGGGCTTATTCATGTTCATTTAAGTTAACCGAACAAACAAACGAATGTGAACGGATAAACAAACTAGTTTTTTTTGTTCATGTTCGTTCATTTAACAAATTACATTGTTCATATTCATTCGTTTATGTTCATGAACATGCTAAATGAACATAAAAAAACAAAGACAAACAACATAATTGAACATATATAAACATAAATGAACGTATAATGTATTAATGACAATTGAATATATATGAACATAAATACAAAGAAATATAAACGAATGTTTATGAACATAAACGAACAAGTGAGACCATTGTTCATATTCGCTCGTTTAACTAAATTAACAATAATTTATGTTCATGTTTGTTCATTTATTAAATAAGTGAAATTACTGCCGAAAGATTCACGAAAGGTTCGCTGAACGTTTCGTTCGTTTACAACCCAATTTACGACTCTTTAATCTAACAAAAAAAAAACAAAAAAACTTTCTTTTCTCTCAGCGCCTCCAACATACATTGACGCCTCTTTCACCACGACACTTCCCTCCATCGGTCTTCTTCAACCTCTCGTTTCCTCCTCATGTTGTCACCGTTTAGACCAGAAATGTCGTGTTCTTCCTATTGGACCGCACCACCAGACCAGACGCACTCCGTTGTCCCTAATGTCTCCTCTGCTCTGCAATCATTTATGCCCGTCGTCGCCGCTTGTCACGCCTGACATCTCCATCGCCACCGATAAGAACATTTTCCCTAAAATAAAATGTTATCTTCTAGGGTTTGTTATAGTTGTTGGAAATCGAATGTTATTGTTGGTGAATTCAGATTGTTTTGCTGAAACACGAAAATCATATGTATATTTGCTGAAAATCGGATTTATTTGCTGAAATTAGATGTTTATAGGTGCTAGAAATATGATTTCTTTGCTGAAATATGAAAAATATCGTTCAATTTGTTGAAACTACTAGTTATTGATGCTAGAAAATCACATTTTAACTGAAATTAGATGTATATTTGTTGGAAATCACATTTTAGCCTATAGTAGTTGTTATTGTTGCTGAAAATCGCATTGTTAACAAAAATTAGATGTATATAGTTGTTGGAAATTACGTTTGAACTTAAATTAGTCTTTATTGTTGCTGGAATAGTATTCATATATGATGTTTTAATGCTTGTAATTCATATATTTTGTAGTTCATTGGTATTAATTAGACTTGAAGAGTTAGGCTAAAGATTTCTTTGAACCGAGTTCTTAATTGGTTTGCAGCGAAGAGTAACAATGACAAAATGAAGGCTCATATTCTATAAACATAAGTAACTGATGGATGCAAGAAAACTATTTGATTAAATGCTTGAGAGAGTTCGAGCATAATATGGTCACATTAAATATGATTCGTCATTATCATCGATATATTAAGTATTTTGGAGTTTTTTTAAAAAAAATGATATCATATACTGTAACATGTATAGAGATGGTTATAAGTTGAAAACATTTGTATAATATGTGAAATTAGAACACGAGTGTGATGAATGATTCATGAATTGCAACTTTGTCTTTACGTGATGTCAAAAAGGTTTTAAAGGATTGACTTATATTTCAATGTTGAACAATTTGAAAATAATAGATTTTAGAGGTTTGTTTTATATCTTAATGTTGTATGATTTTAAAAATAAATTATTTATGGTTGTATGATTTATATTTTAATGTTATAAAACTAAAATTATTTAAATTTTCATGTAGAAAAACTCTTTTAAGTAAAAAAAACCGGTTTATGAAAAATTCAGTTTATTTTACCAGACTACAGATGTAAAAAAATAAACAATCTTCTACTTGCAGACTGCAAACGTTTGGTCTACCTTTTCTACTGTAGATGTTGCAGATATGGTCTGCAAACTACAGACGTTTTGCCTCTAAAAAACAAACAACCCTTTAGTATTTCTATGACGTCTTATAATATGTTTATGAGAGAGAGAGAGAGAGAGAGAGAGAGAGAGAGAGAACATTCTACCACTACATTTTCCCCACTATACAAGGGGTTGTGTTTACGCGTGTCTGCATACCACATCAACATAATATAATGACATCAAACAACACCGAATCCATCAATGCATTATCAAAAGATGCACAAAAACTAACGATAACAATGTTGATTGACATCTTTCGAACAACAATGGTGATGTCAACGACAAAATGATGAATGTAATTATTTAAATTATAGTTCCTCCATGGTATCTACTATAATTTAGTGTGCATGACAACAATGGTGGTGGAGGAGATTTGGTTTTTTGTTCATATTTAATCATTTTTTTGTATATTATATACCATTAAATTTGTTGAAACTGTTTACATATTACAGTTTTACCTACACTAATAGGTTGCAACTTATAAGGATAATATGCAAACCTGTTCAACAAGTTGGATGATATATGGTGTATGAGAAAAAAGATGGATGATATATGGTGTATGAGAAAAAAGAAAGAAACTAATATCAACAAAATCAACGATTCATTATCTTCATAAGCCTTTTCCTTCTTTTAACTATTAAAAGATTGTTTCTAGTTTGACTTTGGCATTTCTTTTCCCTACCTTAAGAATTTGTATTCTTAGTTTTTTAATCTCAAATTCAAATAGAATTCATTCTTATAGTATGTCATTGTTATATTAAATATCCCATATGGTGTTGTGTATGCAATATTATATGGTTTCAGAAGATATTATATGGTTACAATCTTTGACATTCATGTGTCCCATATAATATAGAATTAATTAATTTGTTTACACTTCTTTAAATAACTATAACTTCTAGAGTCTTCATGATAAAAACTATATATAATAGTTTTGACAATTTTCTAACAAGTAAAATATTTACCCGCCCAACATCTAGAGTTTATTTTTCCATATTTGACGTAATATATCTAATGACCATCCATAGACCATCTAGAATCAAAACACAGCCATGTGTCGAGAAAATAATACATATGCATAAAGAGAAAAATTAATATATCAAATATCTTCCTCGTTGCAAGAGGATTAGGTAAGTAAGAATTCATCAAACTTGATTTCTCCCATTTTCTAGGACATTCATGCGTAAACAAAGGTTCCTCGTGTGTAAATCAAATATTCATGCGTAAATTAAATATCTTCCTCGTGTGTTATGCACTAATTTAGTTCTGTAAAAAAAATTAGATTTTTTTTAACGAATTTCTACACAATATTCTTATCTTGTTATTTTTAATGAAAATTTAAATTTTACGCTAGCATTATTAAAAATTTTCTTTAAATATTCAACCTAAGTTGAATGTAACAACTCCATAAGACAATAAAAAAGGCGGGTTATACAATGGCGTGTCTTAATTCCTCTCGAGCATCACTATCTCGATGAATGTCGGTATACCCCTTATCGATGCGGCACTAGTTACATACCCAAAACAAAATATCA